ATGTTTTTTGTATAGTAGAGTTGTTTTTCACTGTCTACTAACATCTCAAAAAAAGTATTTCATCTTTTTAGGTTAATGGGTTCTCAGGATTTCCTCTTGACTACCTTTACTATATTTATCCAGGGAGACACATTTCAAATATAGCCTCTGGCTTGAATCCAAGTTCTCTCTTCTACAAGTTAAAAACACACACACTTCCACTAACTTAGAGCAGGGAGAATGAGGCAACTGGGATATTATCATTTTTTAAATGGATGCGTTCACACTGGTGTTGCTTTTTTTAAATTAAAAAATCCTCATTACTATTAATTTGTATGCACTGTGTTAATAACAAATTACTACCAAGTTACTTTTACTTTTTTTAAAATGCTTAAGATAAAAATTTAAAAATCCACACAAATGTCCCACCCACTCCAAACATTGTAGTGTAACAAGTAAATACTACTTGTTACTCCTAAAAGTGACAATGTTGCCAGCTGTTACATTATTTTATAAAGGCAAAATCTTTACACTCTGGTTACCCAAACAACAGATGTATTACAGTAGACCCTCTACTTAAGAAATTAATCCGTATTGGAATGGTGGCTGCAAGTCGAAAAGTCTGTAGGTCGAATCTCCATTGACCTACAATGCATTGAAAACCGATTAATCCCATAACCAGCGGTTTTTATTCTATTTTTGTTCCATTTTGGGTTTTTTCTGGTCTGTAAGTCGCTTCTCCGGCTGCAAGTCGAATCTAAATTTTGCAGCCAGAGAAGTCTGTAACTCGAAAAGTCTGTAAGTCGAGCCGTCTGTAAGTCGAGGGTCCACTGTACTGGCAATATCATTACCAGTAACAGGTTGCTTCCAAAGAGGATTATCCCACCAACTGCTAAATACACTTCACTGTCTCTCATCCACCAAAAACGTTACTTTAGAAAATCAGAAGGTATTTCAGAGAACCACCAGATGCAGCTCAGGGGCCACAGCTATCAGGGTGGGGTGGAAACAAACAAATTAGGGAAATAATGTCCCATGTACTGTCAGAGCTTCTACTCATAAAAGTGACATATTGTTACATGCCGTATCGTTATGGTTCCTGTTAAAAAGCACAAAAAGGGCAAAATGGATAGGAAGTGACTGAAACAGAGCATTTTGTTTCAATCAAAGCATGCAAATGATTTGAATTGTTGTCAGAGTTTCAGGCTTCTGCAGAAGCTATACTGTTGCAGTGCACATGGTCTTTAGTTGTTCCCTGGAGGTCAGTCAACTCAGTAGCATTCATGATGATCAATGCTCATTTCTCCTTTGAATGTGAGAAGGGAATTGGTTTACTTCTGACACAGCCTCCTCAGAGATCAAAGGTCATATTCCTCTTATTCAGAGGTCCCAAGGGTCTCCTCCTCCCCATTCCATTTTTTTAAATAAAAGTTCACTTTGACATAGGATAAAAAATGCACAATTAATTTTAAGTAAAAAAATGCAGCTTGTCCAATAATGTTTAAAAACCTGGCTAAATATGACCTGCTTGTTTATATAACAACAGATGAAAGCTAAAACAAAAATAGAAACATTTTAACAAATTAGAAATACTGCATGTAAACTTCAGAATTTCTATAGAAAAAAGCCCCACTCAGATTTACTAATTCTAATACTGTGAATTCCCTAATATTCTTACACTGTAGCGAGGAAAAATGAGTCTGGGTATTAGGTGGGAAAAGGTATCTATTTTTATTATATTTAATTTATTTACCAGCTGCTTGGATATTTAGAGTTCTAGAACAAAACTAAACAGAAAACAAAAACATCACTACATTTTAAGGATTAAACACCAGCATGAATTCGAGAAATCTAATTTTGCAGTCATTTAGAGCAACAAGAAACAAAGAATAACATTACTGCTCTTTTATAAAAAGGAAGCCCTCTCATTCATTTAGCTATACAGTATTAAGATTATTATTTCAAGTATCATCTTCAACACAGTCAAAGTTAAGTGAAAAAAAACTGTTTATTAGGTAGGTATCATCACTCTGAAAGCATTTCTGGTCATAGAAAGGCATTACCAGTCCTGGGTGTATACAAATATGGTTGTGATATTTTCATGTTTATATAGTGTGACAAACAAGAACAAACTAGGAAGAGTTGAGTTGTAAGCTGTTACCCAGTGAGGTTCTCTGTGTTTGTAGATGGAGGGGCCTAGCTGCAGCCTGACACTAATGACCAACGTCATGCTTCACAGACACTTTTTAGCAAAGTACAATAGTTGAGGGAACATCTGGGTACAAAGTCTGAATCCTTTATGAAATTTGCAACAATGCTTTTGAAATTATAAATGGGAAGAGTATAAACGCATGCTTAATAATTCCCTATGGGGTATTTTAGTCAGGAAAAAAAACCCTAAGGAATTAAAAACACACTTAATTATAAACAAATAATTCCAACAAAGTTTAATTACACAATTATACCTCATGGCCATTAAGCAAGTGCTGAAGAGATAATACCAAATCACAGAACTGTTTAAAAAAAGGAGGTGGGGGGGGACAGGGAAGAGAATGAATTAGGAATTTCTACACATGGGAGCAAGTGCTTTTTGCTTCACTCACTGTTGGAACCTTGTAATCCGCATTAATCTGTTTGTTCCCGGAAAGTACCTTTTTCAGACAAAGTCCTAAATGTGCTTTCAATTCATTTATGCCGTTTACTTTGTGGCAGCTGACTCTGTTGAGTCAGATATATTATTTCCACATATACTATGTGAAATTCTCCTATATTTCTTGTCTCCCTCCCTTCTACGCTCCCACCCTTGGCACATGCTGCCAAACTAACTTAGCAGAAAGTTTAAAAAGCTGGGAACAATGTTACCACAGGGTGCCAAATTTGCAGTGAAAGCCCCAAAGGCTGTTGTCACGCAAAGTTTGACAAAGGTTGCCAAATGGTTTCTTCAGGATATAAACTGCTTCTGAAGTGACTGAGTCCTTTGTATTTACAGCTGAATGCTGCAGATGGGAAGATTTCTATCAAGAAAAGAGTAATTGCTGTTTCTGCCATGTGAAGTTTTACTCATATAAATAAGGAACACACTTGCTCCTAGGTATATGGCAGTGTTTTTTTTTGCTTTCAGGGGATTTCCACCTGAAGCAATGTTGGAGTGGGGGAATTATTTGCTGGGAAAATTGGGACCAGTTAAATATGCAAATATTCCATCAACTCAAATAAGTTAGTAAAACCTTTTAAAACCTTCTGTACAAGAGGAATAATACAGTACCATGTTTCCCTGAAAATAAGACAGCATCTTATATTAAGTTTTGCTCCAAAAACGCATTAGGGCTTATTTTCAGGGGATGTTTTCTTATTTTTTTCGTGTACAACAATCTACATTTATTCAAATAAAGTCATGTCATCTTCTTCTGGTTACTGCACAGTGTTGGAGGGCAGGGTTTCATTTAACTGGGGCTTATTTTTGGGGTAGGGTTTCTATTACGAGCATCCTGAAAAATCACACTAGGGCTTGTTTTCAGGTTAGGTCTTATTTTCGGGAAAACTGCTTTTTGGTAATGACTGTAATATGTTTCAGAAAGGGCAAAGTTATCCACTCCAAGAGAAAAGACTTCTTTAAATGAAAAACATGTTAATCAGAACTCCTAACTTGTTCTGTTGTCAAATGAACATATAGTACAGGTGGAGCCATATCCTTTGCACAGCACCTGGAAGTATACTCAGTGTTTTACTTGTAGCTTGCCATTGCAGGTGCTGCACAGGACTTGATGTTGTTTCTATGGTTTTAAGATATCAAGAGTCTTAAAGCAAAGGAACATGGTTCAGTGGTAGGAGGAATGCTTCAGTCACAGAAGAGATATTACTAGGACTGATGGACTAACAATCTGATATAAAACTGCTTCACTTTCTTTTCTCATCTTCTACATACAAAACAACCAAGAGCTTAGAAAACTCACTGCTGGTTGGAGCTTCAGGAATTAGATTCCCAAAAAGTAACTTTGCCAAGGTTTGAAGGGAAAACACTTTTAAAAGGTGAAATTATTCTTCTTTGCATCATTTAGGAAGCAGCCTACTACCACATAGGAAGTGAACAACTCACTGTAATGAAGGATTGCTAAAGTTGTACTTTAGCTATAGCACCTGGTATTGCTCAGGTATCTGAAATTAAAGATTATTTGGAGCAGGAGGTTATTATATGGAGAGTGGGGGGAAGAGAACAGAATTTCAGAAATGTTAAATCTTGCTTCGTAAGCATGAAAAATAGAACCATTAGCCCACTTTTTCCTGTTGTTAACAGCCTAATCTATTTTTCCTTTACACTCTCCAAGAAGGCATTTAATGTTAGGTGTCCTAAGAAAAAGGTTATGCCTGTCACATTGTTTACAACAGTCCTCTCCAACCTTGGACCCTCTAGACTTTTGGACTATAGTTCCCATCATCCCTAGCAAGGTGTCATAATCTAACACATGAGGGTCCAATGTTGCAAAAGGCTGGACTATGAGACAGCTTCTATTAAACACATTTACATAAATAGCTAACATTAGCAACCCTAGACATTACACAAAACTCCTCCATCTGGATGAATAAGAATAGATACAAGAACAACTCAGCGGACAAAACTACAACACAGTTCTCTGCTGAGAATTTCAAACAGAAATGTCTCTGATAATGAACTCCAGATGAAACCAGAACTCAATAAAATGAATGCACTCTAGTAGTTCAATTTCTTTTTCCCCCCTTGTTTTTCACAATCTTACACATGACTACTAAAAAATAAATCCCAACAAATTCAGTGGGGCTTATTCCCAGATAACTAGGCATAGAGTTGGCAATGAAGTCTAATCTGGTCAATGTATTTGCTATGGCAACAGCAAAACTCTCCCCCCATAAGTATTTTGTGTTTAATTATTTGCACCCCTAAAGAAATTTGGGGGGGGGGAGAAGACCAAATACTAATGACAAAAATTTATCTTAGAAAGAGTTTGCAGAGACAACTTTTTGAAAATGCATAATTTCTTATTTACCTCAATTTTGTCGATCTTTGCATCTCCCCAATAAAGTTTGCCTTCTTCAAGGTCCAATGCCAAACCATTAGGCCACCCTAAAGAGGTGTTCACCAGGACTTTTCTTTCAGAGCTATCCAAGTAAGCACACTCAATCTTTGGATTTTCACCCCAGTCTGTCCAATACATGTAGCTGTGGGGAACAAAGGAAAATCTACTTTAAACAGATGTACATGGACACAAACATATATCACTGCCGTTACAAGCTGTAACATTTGGTGCAAAACCTTCATATTAACTGGTATCATGGGAAATCCTCTCTGTCTAGAGTTTGCAAGGTTCCAGAGTGGATAATAGTATTGTTATGCTTGCCATTATAAATAACAAAATGTCACAGAACAGATCATGAAAGATGGCCTTTGATGGTTGAGAATTTCAGATTCATTAAACAGCACTGAAGGATATGAACTGGAAAAAATGTCATATTTTGGATATATAAACAAACACGCCAGGAAAATGTAACTTATGGAAGGCTGGGATATTCAAAATTCAAATACTTTGTACCATATCCAATCAATAAATCAATGGTAAAATTGCCACTTCATTTTTGTAACATTGTTTAACAACTGGGAACACTCACCCCATCAGAGGATTGAGTACTATTGCTCTGGGTTCATCTAGATTTTCTGATATAAGGATCTTTCTTGACGTCCCATTCAATCGTGTAACTTCAATGCGGTCCGTACCAGTGTCAGTCCAGTACAAGTTTCTCGCTATCCAGTCTACCGCGATACCATCAGGATGATCTATTTCAGTTGAAACAATGGTTTGTGCTCCAGACCCATCAAGAAAAGCCCGACGAATAGCTCTGACATCATCATCAGTCCAGTAGATATAACCTTCCACAGGATCATAGTCTATCGCAATAGCATGCCTGATATTGTCTATCTGCAGTATAATGTCTGTGAAATCTGACATGTCCAAAGAAATTCTTCGTAGATCTGTTCTTCTAGCTAGCAAAAGCACTTCCTCAGCACCTGGAAGAAAGCACCAGTAATCACCACTTTATAAATATGAGCAGCATTGATTCTTCCAGAGACAGTGCAGTAGAAACAATGGGAACATTAAAAATGACTCAACAAGCCCCTCTTCTCTAGCAGTCATTACCAGTCCTACATTAGTAACAAGGGGAAAAAATCAAGCCAGAGCTCTACACTGAAAAAATGCAAGGGGCATGGTGAATGACTTGTGATGGGGAAATTCTTGCTCAGATAGTGACAAAGCTTGGGGGAAGAGCAGAAAACAGCAGAAAACTCTGATACTACCAGTATAGAAAGTAAAAAAAATCTTCATATTAATGTCAGGTTTTAATTATTGGCACAAGAAATGTTAAAGAATAAGTAGTTTTATTTTTCACAGGCTTCTGGGGCCTGTAGTGCACTTCTTCAAACACACAATGTTGCCTTTGTAAGCAGACTGATACACCACCTAGGTAGGGTGGGCGCAGGGGTAGGAATTTCAACTATTGAGAGTGGTGGAAGGAAGGAAGGAAGGAAGGAAGGAAGGAAGGAAGGAAGGAAGGGGGCACAATTATGTCCAGATTACCTTACCTTTTACTGCAAAAGTTAAAATGAACTATTTTAAGAATATCCACATATTAACAAAAGACAAAACACAATTATAAAAGAAAAGGATTTGATTGCATTTGCTAATGTAGGAGGAAATTAAGGGTAAATGTCTAGACATCATAACCCACAAAGCCGTCTACTCAGCTAACAGTTTTCTTCCTGGAAGCAAAGAAATGAATGCAGTTTCTATATACAGTACAGCCCACCTACCCAACAGATGATATGAACACAAGTCTTAAGTTTCAGATAATATGAGTGGCATTCAGTGTCTACTACACGTGTTCACTTCCTTTAAAATGATCAGCTTTTATTAATTGTGATAACTGTTATTTAAGAATTGTGCGTTTCTACTAAACACACCAATTTTGACAAGAAGCATGATTCAACATAATTATAAAATAGGATGACTAGGATATTAATAACCTTCTCTCAACAACTTGCTACATCCGTAATAATAACATTTAAATAAGACACTTTTATCAATTATAGCTGGGATGGCTCTCAAAGCAACATATAAAGAAACTAAACAAGGTATCAAAAGTGACAATAAAAAGCAAGCAATCGCTATGGAGGAAGTGACATGTAAACAGCACATTTAAATGTCATGCTGTTCTCATATCAATCAAAATCTGAGGATATATATGTTGAAGTTCTAAGGTGATGCTGAACCCTGTCCTTGCCTACTGCTTTTTGTGAAATGATTTTTTTTGCAGCAAATGTGGGTTATTTAAAAGGTAACAAAATATATGTTGCATTTAAAAATCAGATTGGTGCCCCTTTAGTTCAGAGAAAATCGAGCCATGACATCGTACTGGGCTTCATATAGAAAAGACAGTTGTAAGATGTGTTTTAAATGACTCAAAAACAAGTTTTAAGGAATTTGTTTTGTTCTGTTCTCCTGTTTTAAATACTGACTTTCTTCCCAGAACTGGACACACACATTCATTATGGAAGAGACTAGGACAATTTAATGGAAATATATATTAATTGTTTTTAAAAGTTAGATGTCAAGTGTTAATATAATAGTATAAATCAAGCTATCTGAACATCCTGCAGAAGTAGCAGTTCATTCTCTTTTAAAAAACATAAATACAAAGAGTAAACAATGAAATTAAATGTTTCTCATGAAAAGCACTGTACTGCTACTTATCAACAATAAATAATTGGTGCCCCAAAACGGCACCAGCAGAATCAATGAACTATTCAAACCTGTCACATTTTTTCCAGTTTCATAATGTGATATTTTAGAGAAGTGGTTCCCAAATTTGGATAACCCAGGTGCTCTTGGACAGCAATTCCCAGAAGCCTTCAACACCAGCTGTGCTGGCCAGGGTTTCTGGGAGTTGCAGTCCAAGAACATCTGGGTTACCCAAGACTAGGAACCACTGTTTTAGAGAAGTGGAACAGTATGGAACCCATAGACCCCTCAAGAGCATCTCCTCTTTTGGGACTTCTGCGTACCTTTAATAATGCTATGAGAAACCTCAGACTCACAACTGAGCTTAGAGATTTTAATTTAGCTGCTCCCAATTTTGCTAGCTATCGCTACAAGGCAGCATAAGAGATGTGATCTTTCCCATCTGCACTCCAAATTGGTACAGTCCACATTCACACTTATGTGGTGTTATAGACAGTATGCACACAGTCATCATGGAAGCTGCAACATTCCAGTCCTAACTGCCAGAAATGGGTGTGAATGCATTAACAGCTTTTGGAAGGAAGGAAAGAATAAAACTGCTCCCCTGTTCTTGGCAAGCCTTTGAATTCTTTTACTTGAGCAGTGATCTGTTGTGCGTTAAAATTGGCCCTCAGCTTCACTGAAGTTGCCCATTCCTGCTCTATATGCAGGCTATTGAATGAGGCCATAATAAAATATGGGGATCACCACAATGAGTTCAACACCACCCAACTTTGTCCTCTTTATCTCAGCTAGGTTCAGGTGCTTTGTTATTTGCATTGTTCTGTGTTCAGCCACAGAGACTGAAGATAGCTACCAAGTGAAATTGATTCCTAAAGTAACAATTATAAACAGATCCTTTGATTTGGAGAGAACTGGTATATCAAACTCAAAACACTCAAGCCTCCAACATCTCGTGGGCTTGCAGCTTTGAAATGCTTCTGGCTGAGCTGGAAATGTTCTTTTAAGATTCATAATGACATGCTGAAAGCATCTCGCACTGAGCAGTGATAGGATAATTCTCTGGGACTCTTGAGTATTATCCTACTACCACTCATTTATGGTTGGCTTTAGCATGTCACTATATTAATATCTCAAGACTTTAATTGTCTCCTCTGTCTCCTCATCCACTCAAAATTATGAAACAGAGTTAAAAGCTGAAATCCAACATCATAATGCAATGAGAAAGTGAGAAATACTCCCATATCCTTGCATTGGGATGACTCTGCTTATAGAAGTGGTATGTCAACTTCTTCAATCCACTCACCTTCCTTCTTCCAACTCAAGCTCTTGTCCCTCTTCTGATCCTCCTCCCTCGTCCCCTTTTTCTGTAAAGGTAGCTCTCACTATGAGTTCTTGGTTCTGTTTCTCCCTGTTCCTATACATTAGTGTCAGTTTCACACTGTAACCAGGGAACTGAAAATAAAAGAACCCCTCCCCCCTTTTGTTGCTTCTATGATTAGCGCCCTTCCTTCTCCTTTTGGCCATGGCTCAAGACTCTTACGTTTTCTGTTGGTTACAGCCTCAGAAAAACATAAACTAAAACTATTTCATCTCTGGATAAATATTAAACTAATTAGAAGGCAATTAATTATATCATCATGTTTGTTGGTTTTAAAATCAATCAATTAGCCTAACCAGTTCATTAAGATCATTAAGGCTTTTGTAACCTTGGTGCAGAAGTGGATTGTTTCAGTATAAGGAAGTAAGGATTGGGGGTGGAAGAGAGCGTCAAGAAGACTACTGTAGAATAAAAAGGAACTGAATGTGGATATACAGAAACCTGCCCTTCGCTGTTCATATCTTGCCTTAATATTTTGAACTAAAATGGCATGGCAAAGAACACAGGCCTAATTACTGGCTAAGAAATGTATGCAACACTCTGTATAACGCAATACAGGACAAGTAATTTATAGCCCACATACCAGATGCAGGGTGCCAAGTCCCTTTTAAAGATCCTCGGCTGGCAGGAGCCACTGCTGTGCACATTGCCTGAAATGTATCCCTGTAGAGCGTGGCAGCTGGCCGTGGCATTGCCACCTAAGCTCTGCAAAGTTATGTATAATCTCATAACTTTGAGAAAAGTCCAGGTGGCTCAACCAAACTAACAACAGGCACCACTGTTGCCATGACAGAGAGACATGAAGGCCTCCAAATGGGAAACAAATCTGCCTTGAGCACCTTAATGGAACAGTGAAAAACATATTTTCTATCAAACTACTTTTATAATCGCATTCCTTATGTTGTGGCAGATAATGTGTGAGCCCTACCCCCACCTCCCCAAAAAAAAGCATATCTAGTTTGGAGGTATTATTTATTTAAATACAAGCACTAAATGCAAGAATGTATGGGTATCTGTTTACATTCACAGTGGACTAGACAGGTGGTGCTTAATTTAATGGATGAGAGAAAACAGAGTCTCCACTGCCAGACTGGCTCAACTGGAGAACTGGAAAGAGGTAAAGACACATTAATAGGTTTGTATAATTGTATAGAAACAGGAAGAAAACCATTCAGGCCTTCTGATATGCTTAAATCTAACCAAGAAAGAGACAGAGTGAGTTCTAATGTTAGCACAGTAAAGTTCTTATCCTGAAATCATTCTGCCTCATTCACAGAATTTTACTAGTTAAGGATGTTCCAAAAGTTATAGCCTTCTATTTGTAATCCTCCTATGCTTTTGAGTTCTCCCATTGGTTTCCTTACCAAGGCATACCCATTAAGAACAGGAAAAGAGAACAGTTTCTGTGTTTGCAGTTACTGTGGAATGGAGACACACAATACCAGCAACCTTTACGGGATGCTCAGTCTGTGCTCATGCTGCAGAATCTGTTAGCAAAGCAGTTCCCATGTAGGGTAAGCCAATGAATGACACCTGGTTTACACTGAATATAGGGAGATATGCCACTTTGGATTATACGAGCACCTGGAGGTTTGAGCAACATTACCATATAGTGTTGAAGCCCACGTGGTGAAACAGTTCATCACTTATATCACTTGGGCTGGTGTCTCTAAAGGCACCTTTTGCATTTATACTAGGATAAATCCAACCCCATTCTGTCTCACAAATACAAAGCTTGCCACCAGAGGTGGCCAGTCAAATCGGACCCTCCACCCCAAAATGGGCATCCACTTACCACTTGCGGTGCGGCCGTCATCCTTCATGCTGTGCCAATAAGGGAAGTAGCCCAGCTAGAGCTTCCCTGCTTCCCTATACTGCTGACCAATCCAA